GAATTACCTGTCAATGAAGTTGAGGAGCTGCTGCTTGCAGTCGGGAAGGGCTACCAGTCAAACGTGTTGACCACATCCCTGCATCGCAAAGTTCACGTTGGTTTTAAACTGAAAACAGATGGCATCTCAAGTGGTTTGCCAGTTACTTGACGTTATATTATGTTCAGTTATCACAAAGAGGAGGAATCATCACGCTCTAATCATTCACCTCACAGTAAGAAAGGAAAAGCTCCCTGGCTGTCCTATGACAACAGTGTTATTTAAAACACAAATGGTTCCACTTACAAATATCTCATACAAGTGACACTTCCTCATGCACATCCTAGATGGTATGTGGCAGAACGTGTTCCTCAGCTCAGAGTATTCAAGCTTTGTTCCCTGTTGTCTTTTACTTCTTTTGAAGAATCAGTCCATGAATATGACCAACAGCATTGGGATTTATGCTTTAACAAAATGACCATTTTCCCACAGTGGCAATATACAGGAACTTCTTACTTAATTCTGCCAATGTATCACGATATGACTGACAAGCTGCAATTCCAAAGCTGAGACGCAAAACGGAGCTCCTGGAGATCCCTGGATCCCACTTAGCATTCACCACGCAGAGCTGGTACAGACTCTGGGAAGGAGCTGGTTACCTCCCCTTACAAAATCATTCCAAAGGGTGATAGGCCAGTTATTGCACTCTAGAACAACTCACCCAGAGCTTGCAGTCATGATCAAACCTGTTCTGCCAGGAGGATGGCTCAGAAGTTCCCTAGACTTTGTTTTCACCAGCAGGTGTTGCTTATGCTTCAAACTAAACATGGAGGGAGAAACAAAGATGTCAGGAGGCTAAAGCAAAGCTAGAATGCCAAGCAGTTGCTTGGGTTGATTCAGTCTTTGTGTACAACTACTTTGTTCTACTTTCACATAGCTCCGAGTCATGAAAGGAATATTCACTTGGGGTATCCAAGTGGGTTGAGCATCAGATTCAGACAGGGCTCTCCCAGCTCTGGGTACGGACAGTTTGGCCTTTCTTCCACCAGTAGCAGAAGTGGAGCTCAGCCAAGCTTTGCCAGAGTCAAAAAGAAGCAGTGTTTGACATTTCACGTCAAAGGCATCTCATTGCTAGGTAAAACCTATTTTTCCATGTGTCTGAGTTAGACACAGCATCTCAATTCGTGTCATTTTTACTGGTGTCTAAAGTTTCCTCCCCAGTTGCCTACAATTCCCAGTAAGGGAAAGGACAGGGTGGAGGAGAATGACTTGAGCCCCAAATTATGAATAGAATACAAGGAAATGGTCTGTAACAATTCTACATATTAAAAAGCAAAAAAGAAAGTAACTTTCTTTACCCCCGCTCCTGAGTTGCTCTTCAATGCATTCTACTCAAGGTAGTAATTTCATTGGTGATTAATAAAACTTGAAGAACTTTGCAAGTATCTATGATAAAGAACCAGCCTTGGGTGCCACAGTTTAGTGTGAGGTGTCCCTGCCCATGGCAGGGGAGGTGGAACTGGATGATCTTAAGGTCCTTTCCAACCCTAACTATTCTATGATTCTATGATTTATGTATTTTGTTATTGAATGCTCTTGTACTACAGTACAGATGAGCAGCCCCACTTCAGGTGTGCTTCCAGTGCTCTCACTGTCTGCTTTTCATGGTGTTGCATTAATTTCTTACATTGCTGCATTAATTTCTTAAGTGTTTTTTAATTCATCCAGTAATTACATTTTTGGTCAGGTTTATAAATAAAACCTCATTTTGGTTTTAAATTAAAAGCCTTTCCTTCCACAAACTGAAGACTTAAGAAGCAAAAATACCCCAAACAACCAAAGTAGTTCACTGGCATAAAGAAATAAACAGCATCTAATTTTAACACAAAACATGACTAGAGATTTTCACACATTAAATCCATACTGTTTTGTGAGGGGGTTTTTTAGACACTGATAATCTACAGATTGCCTGCAAACAAATATTTTCATTTTATTAAGGCACAGCAATGGCTCCATTAGTAAGCTTATTTATTCCTGGTAAAGATAACAAATTCCCTGAGTTTTAAAATAGGGTATTGATTTTCTGAAGGGATGGGTAATTCTATTGAAGAGGAAAATAGATACATAAGTAGAAGAGCTGTTTGTAAGGCCCACAGTTTAAGCCCTGCTAGTGACTAGACTCTGGGTTTTTGAATTAGTCATCCTCGCTCACCTTCAGTAGCAAATAATACTACAAAAGAGGCCCATGTAATGTGTTTACACTGTCCCTTACTATAGAAATAGCTAGAGAAACCAAGGATATTTGGAACCAAAATTAGTCACATGGACTATTGTACAGCGCACAAAAGCAAGTCAAGCACAGCCCATGTGATTCCAAACCTTCCCAGGTGATGGTAGCTGAGGTTTGGAGAGCTCTACCATTCATCAGCATCTCAGCATCGTCCTGACAGCAGCAGGAGCAGAACGAAGAGGAGACCAAATGCAGGCTGCTGCCAGATGTGAGGCCAGAGCCCGCAGCAGTTACACTGCAGGGATTTCCAAATGCCTTTCCCAAGTAAACAGCTTCCGTTGACGAAATCTGTTGATGTCACTGGGAGCACTTGGAGGAAGGAGCTTCTCACAAGGCACAACTGTTTCAGGGTCAGGACTGGGGGGTCAGAAAAGCACACACATGGTAGAGGTCAATGTTTCAATGTGTCTCTTGAGAGTTACCCACATAAAAATCCCCTGAAAACTACTATCTTTGCTCATATGAATACTGTACCGCCAATATCTATAAAGGAGCACTGTGAGGAAAGATTAATGACCTGGAAGGCTGATTTGGGGAAGTTTTCCCACCTACAAGATAATACTGAAAGAAATCTGCAAACTGTTGTAGAGGACTTAGATCAACTGCAGGTCATATCATTAGGGAAGTGAAGAGAGAAAAAGTTCAAGTTAATAGGTGAGTCATAATGACAAGAATGAGAAGTTTAAGCTTACCCTGGTGAAGCAGATGTAAAGCTGTAATGGACTTAAAAGAAAGTGCTCCTGTATCTTTATCAAAAAACAGACAAATTACCCCCGTAGCTCCTTGTTCTCTGGATTGTAAAAGACAGAAGAGAGGCAGGAAAGGAAGCAGTGGTAGGTAAGAGGAGCCTATACAAGGTCTTTTGCCATCTAGAAAGAGAAAAGGTCACCTCTTACTGTACGGATGAAGCAGCAGCAGGAGTTGAGTGAGAGCGGTGGAGAGTGGTATGAACAGAGGAATGAGCAGTGAAAGGAAGGAAGGAGTCAAAGGTGCCTGACTCGTTACAGACAGTAATACTGGTAGCATGGTGCCTTTACTAGTGATAGAAGTGTGAGGGGCTCGGGAAAAAAGGATGCCTAAATTTGCCTGTTTCAAGTTTAAATTGCCAGCAACTAATTCCAAAAGAGACAAGGAAGGCTGCTAGAAACGTGGCTGTGGATGGGAGGATAAAACCAGCTCAGGAGCAGAGTAGATGATTGGTTTCTTTCCTACATCATGGTGATATTTAGATGACATTTCAGGTATAACTGGTAGGGATGAAGCAAACAGCAAAATGCAAACTGTTACCTTCAAGAAAATGTAATGCTAAAAAGAAAAGTTGTTGAAAATCAGAGTAGATAAGATTCAAAACTAAAGCTTTAGGCAGCCCCGTAGATGATGTCCCATTTGACTGTCAAACACTATCGCTGTGATAGCAAGTTTTCACTTGTGCTTTCTAAAGGCCCCCTGTGCCACAGAGGCCTTTGAGCACTCAAGGTGTACGAGGTCTAAACCTCAGTAGAGCATGAGCTGGGCAGCAGACTCCTGCAAAGGCAGCTACCAAAGGGAGACAAAGGGAGCATGTTTATTTTCAGCTGGAGGTGAGGAACGCTTCTGTGCACCAGCATGCCCTCTTGGCTCCTGTGAGACGCAGAAATGCTCATTTAAATACTCCAGAGAACCAAAGCAAATGAGCTGCTTGGAAAACCAGAAAGAAGCAAATGACAACTGAAACTCTTCAGGAATAAAAGGGGAGAGGGATTTAGGCAGAGCAAAATGGCAAATGCTTTTTAATTGTAAGTTATTTTTGCACTCAGAAGAGGGAAGAACTGTGATGTTGGCTCGATACCTTGCATTACGAATCAACATACTTGGGTTTCTGAAGGATTTAATAATCTAACATGAAGCTCCTACTAGCCCTCCAGGCAGAGGATGGGCCTGTTGGGTCATGGTTTCATACCATCAAAGAGATAGATTTCATCTTTCAGATGTTGCTGTGCTCGCTTGGTAAGAATTCAGCTTATTAAGAGGTGTTAAATAAGATACAGGATAAAAATACTACAAGAGACAAAAAAAAAAAATAAAAGATTTAAGGCTAAAAGGCAAAGTAAATATGGAAATAACATTTGGCAAAGACATTCTGGGAACAAAACTCCAAGTTTATTTATTGGAACAGATTAGAGGGTAACTCTGGATGGGTGATGCAGCTCGAGGTGCTGTGACCTTGGAAGCAGCCAGTGGGGCAACACCCCACGCTGCACAAGTGGAATGTGCAGCTCTTGGCATGGGAGCTCCAATATTCAAATTGCCCCATAGATCTGAGTAGAGTTTTCAGTGTTTAAGAATCTTATTTTATCTGGATTAAAGTCCTCTTCCCCCTTGGCATGAGAAGGTGTTTATAGCTGTAAAAACAAGAATTGCAAAATACTGCCTTGAAATATAGATGGATTTCTGCTGCCAAACTGACGAGGTTTACTTTGCAGCTTCAAATTGCAGCAGAAAATCTCTGCCAGGGACAGTGTGGCCTTTCAGTGTGGGCAAATGGCACATCAACTAGATCACTCCAGAATTTCTTTTTGAAGTCTAAAAGTCATTTTGCTTTATGGTGGGAAAAGATCAAGTTCTTCTTCTAAGCCCTAAGAAATCTTTACTTTTTTTTAAGTCATGCTCAAGTTGTGTTACAAAAGAAGACAAATAAAAACTATGGTTTATGGTGTGTGATCACTGACCACATTAGAGCCCCTAGCTCTGTCTTCTGTTATCTTCCAGCTCTCCTCCGCTCATACTAATTCTTTCTTTTATAGAGTTATTGTTCTTCTTGTTGCAAACTGTGCCATTTCCCAGCTGCAGTTTTAAGTCCATCCAATAGATTCCACAGTCCTATAAAGTGAAGCACTAAGAAGAAGCTTAAAGTAAAACCCAAACAGATTTGAATTTAAAATGTCATGTTACCACTATGATCTAGAAGAAGGAGCTGATAACTCTCAGCTACAGGTTATTTGGCTTTTCTACTGATGACAGGGGGTCTGATCCTGCAGTTATAAGAGTATAAAAGCTCTGTGAGAGTTGACTTTAGCACATCCTTACCATTGTTTGGGGGTTTGATTGAGCTCTTTCACACACTGTTGGAAGAAAGAAAACCAGGATCCTTTAGAAGACAGAACAGTCTCCATGCCCTCAAAGCTTTGGCTAGAGCATTCCCGGATGGATATACGGAACGAAATATCACTATCTGAAAAGGTATGAGAAACTCTTTCTAGATGACAGCTCTAGAACTTCATGCCTTTAGCAACCAGTGTGCAGATTCTTCACAAGGAAAGGATAACTTCAGTATTTCGCTGTACACAGACCCATCACCCACACTCAAGTCCTTACAGGCACTAACAGATTCAAAATGCCAGTTTGCTAGTTTTAACTCTCCTCTTTCCTCTGGATTTATTTTACTTATCATTAAATGTGTATCTTACTGTGGCACTCCCACAATTTACACTTCTGGATGTCTGAGGCTAAGAAGTTGGGTTGCAAACTGATCTGAGAAGAAAGTGTTAAAGAAGTTTTGGATCAGAAGAAGTTCCTGCTGTACCCTGAGCAAAACAAGCCATAGGTGAGCAGTTATGAGATGAAGAGAAACCAGTCTGAAGCAGATGCCATTGTCATGGGCTTCACCATTGGAAGAGTGGTTAAGGTTCAGGCTCGTATTGCTGAAAATAAGCCATCTAAAACCTAAACAAGTCAGAGATGTACTGACAGAAATGCAGGGGCTGTGTCCATGCATTCCACTCTGAGCAGGCGCACACACACACCTCAATATCTGCAGTAATGCTTGTATTCTTCACTGGTTTTGGCTGTTCTCTCTTCTTTCGTTGCTTCTTCCTACCCCATTCCAAACTGGGAATCTGAACAACTAGGGAGGACCCACTGGGGGCTCACCAATAATAATGAGATTGAATAAGAAATGTTCTGGTTTACATTCTGTTTCTGCTCTGAGCTCATTAAGGCCCTTTTGTTCCAAACCTTAGTATCAGGATTTCCCTTTGGCCACAAAGCTGTCAGGTTCACTTACTGCTCAGTTATAAAAAATGCAAATCAAAGCAAATAGCAAAATGTAGCTAAATTCTGCCTTTAAAACACATCCAAATTGTATTTTACTGGGAAACAAAAACATATGAAAGGTGAATCGCTGTGAAAGAGCCAGCCATTAAAATAATTCTCTGGGTAGCTTTGATGCTCATTTTCTTCAGTTGTAAGCATTCAGTGATCCATCAGCTGCAGATAAATGTGCTGAAAGCTTTTGCTGAAATTACGACAAGGAATAGAAGAATCAGAGACATAAGACGTCCATAGCGCCCTGTGTTGATATCGCTGGTTCCAATCCCTGTCATATGAAATAACTGATTTCTCTGAGATTTTAAGGTTTCAACCTAATTTTAAAAGGAATTAGAGGGCAAATCCCACTTCACCACCATTCCCACTATCAAAAGGTGAAAATATTCACCTTGTAAGAAATTAGATATAATAAAATATTTCAACTGGTTTTAATTTAATCAACAGCTTCCTTGATTCCTCAAGAACCTGGCCATCGCCTGAAATGTTTGCTTAAAGGGAACCTTCTTTCAGGCTGCTGGGCAAGCTTAGAGGTATCTGTTCTGCCTTCTGGTTTCCTGCAGCCCAGTGAACACTGCTTTGGGGGATTCCTCTGACACTCATTTCCACAAGGAACTGAAATGGTTGCCTGTATGTGACATATAAAGAAAGGAATTACACAGTGATATTGTTTTCCTATGTGGAGGCTAATGCCTAATTTAAGACTTACAACCTAATACCTACAGATCAACTCACTGCTAATTCTTCCTTTGCCTGAGATTTTTATGCAGAAGAGCAATGAAGAATTGGAATGGATTTGCAAATCCAGAAGGAAGGAGTAACAATGCCCTGGTCACATCAGGAGGGTGCTTTCTGCTCCTAATCCCATATCTGTCAATGCCTTCTCCTGGTTTACCTGCGCTGCCTGCTTTGCCTAAGAGGCAGCAGCAGTTCATATGAGCAACTGTATTTCCTGCAGCCACAGCAGGTCCTGCTCCAGTCTAATCAGGGATGACCTTCAGCTTTCTGGCACATGGACCTAACATGGGCAAAGATCAACTCTGCTGATTTAAGCAAACCCTTCTGCTCCCATTAGGGAAGAAGCAGTGTTTGTACTTGCTGATTATTGCACATTTGTTGAGGCTTTGTGGAAACAAACTTATTCTGAAATGCAGTTTGGTTTTTTTAGTCAGAAGCATTGTTGAGTGCTGCTAACAGATTTTGTTCAATGATTGACAAAGCTACAAGTCTCAGCACACTGCAGTGTCTAAATCCTATCCTAGAACTCCAAACTAATACAGTATTTGACAAAACACAGTTGGTGTTGCAAAGTTGTATTTGGAAGAAATATTTTGTGTAAAATCTGAACTAAAATCATAGATGTAGAGTTTGAGGAAAATGAGAAACTTCAGTGTAAAAATGCTACTGACTCTCTAGGTTGGTGTCTTAGTGTTAAGCCAGTATGATGGATGGTATGGATGCACGCAAATCGTCATTGGGGTGGTGGTGTAAGTATACTCAAACTTTACTGAAGTTCCACAGGATGCAGACCACTGAGCTGCAGGCTGAGCACATCCCCAGCCTACAAGAAACCTGGAGAGGGGCTTGGGACAAGGGATGTAGGGACAGGCCAAGGGGAATGGCTTTAACCTGCCAGAGGGGAGACTGAGCTGAGCTCTTAGGCAGAAGCTCTTCCCTGTGAGGGTGCTGAGGCACTGGCACAGGGTGCCCAGAGAAGCTGTGGCTGCCCCATCCCTGGCAGTGTTCAAGGCCAGGTTGGACACAGGGGCTTGGAGCAAGCTGCTCTAGTGGAAGGTGTCCCTGCCTGTGGCAGGGGTTGGAGCTGGAGGAGCTTTAAGGTCCCTTCCAACCCAAACCAGACTGTGATGTATGCGTTGGGCACACCACCCCCGTGTGCTTGTGATACCTGCTAAAAGGGAAGCCTCCCCATCCCACTTCTCAGTGTGCAATGTTATATTCACTTACTGGGGTATTACAGACTTGGAAGATATCAAAACTGAAGGAAGGAATTGGGAGCATGAGAGCTGGGTAGCATTTGTAGCCTAACCCTCAGTTCACCTTGTGGTTTTAGGCAAGGCAATTGGCTGCTGGATGACTCTCTGTAATACAGGTCAAATATTTTATGTAATAGCCACAGAGTTTAAGTGAAGGATTACATTGTTATCATAAGAAGTTACTCTAGAATACTATTTTTGATGTAATGACACTATTTATGAGCCAAAATCCAATTTGTAACTTTGGGGCCAGGAGCCAGCTTCCATCAGTTTGCAGAGCCTATGTCTGCAGTGTCTCTAGTGCGCACTTGCTTCAGTCCCAAGCCAATACTTGAGGTCAAATTCTCTCATCACGCATGCTGCCTGCATGCTGGTGTGTGTGTGCTCTGGCTCCAGCCTGGGATTAACCAGCTATCTTTTTATCAAGGACATTGTGGTACAGGGTGGAATCAATACACAAACTGTGCCTCTCAGGCAACAAGGGCGCAATTCACTGGAGGTGCTGGTCCGTGAGCACTCAAGCATGCATCCAGCAGGTATCCAAGCAAACAGAGTCCCTTTAAACCCTGCTTTCAAATACAGTATGAGCTGTGGGGCTTTAACCTGGACCCAAACTTTGCTTCAACACTTGGGAAAACACTTTGGTGTTATGTGTCTATCATAACTCTATAATCATTCTGGTGCTCCATCTCGCTTAAAGAGAGCCCACTTTAACCACGTAACATCGCTGCAGAGTTTTCATGTTGTTCAAGCACAACAGCCCAAGTCAAAAGGATCAAACCTAGTGTTTGGGCAGCATTCCTTCAGACCAGTCTCTGTGAGCAGTGCCAGTGAGTTGGGCAGTGCAGGAATCACTCCTGACCTGTGCTATCTGGACCATTCCTGTCTCTTGTAATTACTGCTCAGAGATGTCTACCAGATTCTTCCCAGTGGACATATGGTCTCAGCAGGTAGGAACAGGCCAAAAGTGCTTTACTTGCACTGACGTCAGTGGGGGAAGTGTGACTGAACCCAGCTCCCACCAAAATTAAGCATTACCTGACTGCTGCCTGGGTTTCACAGTAGCTGGCCTACATATTCCTACAGCTTCTGGAGAAATCTTCATCCTTCTTCCCCATAGAAAGTGTCGTTACAGTTCATTAGAGATAATACCAGTCGCCTTCTGCTAATTATTTGTACTTTTGCTTAACGCTGATAAATCTACTTGTTGAGGTATTATTACAAGCTAATATTTGTCTTGTAACACACATTAGTCATTACAATTAGCAAGTAGAAATAGATTAGTCATGCACAAACAATCCATAAATGAAGTATTTATGCCCCTTTGGGGATGGAAAGGAAGGTAATTTGAGCCCTTTATGGTTATCGAGGGAAACCTGACTTGTCTCTTCTATTCACACTGCTGTTTCAGGGTTTCTTTTTGGGCAAGCCAAGCGGCTGTGGGCTTCCTTTAAAGTGCAGTAGCACCACCAGAAGCTGTGGTGTGACTAAATGAAAACCCTCAGGTGTAACCTTTTCCCAAGCCTTTAGTCTGCATTGCTCAAATAAGTGTCACTCTTCTATCAAAAACCTTTTCAGTTCATGTATCTGCTCCTCCTGCGCCTGGAAGAGACCTTCCTTTCACATACAGGAGTTTAGATGTTTGTCTGGGCAGTGAACACGAACGTTTAGCCACGGACTCAGGGCTTCTATCATCTGAGAAAGCAAGCCTGAAGATCCCAAGCTTGGACTGAAGATCCGGATGTCACCACAATCTGTGTGAATGTGTCACCAGTGGACAAAGCTGCTCCCTGCATGGCTACACTCGGAGCAAACCCAAGCTCTCATCAGAAACTTCCAAGAAAGAGGTTGTGCAATGAGCTTATCAGAAAGGTCAGCCCTCAAGTTTGCTTCGAGGAGTTGCAAAAGGTCTGCACAAGCCAATGATGAGGCAGCTTGCTGCTTTCTATTCCATCTGCCAGTGGCCTTTCTTTGTCGCTTCTACTTAAAATTTATTAAGCCGCTCAAAGGAAATCACTACCTGTGCGTATAAGATCTCCTTAAAAATCACTTTTAAAATAATTAGACCATGCCAATACCTAAGGCCATTTAAAACTGAAACCCTGAGTCATTTCACAGAAGTAAATTTAACAGCCGCATCGGTGTGCTCCTTCCTTCGCTGCTCGCTCACAGCGAGCACAGGTAAGGGCACTACTACCAAGTGCAACAAGTCACCCCATCCCCAGCCCTGCCTTCCTTTATTCTCTTTGCTGTCCTTCACGTGCTCTCATACGTGCAGTGAAAACTCCAACAACTCGCAGCTCTTCCTCAAGGAAACATTTTCTCCAACTACAGAAGTTGTCAGGCTTCCTGAAGGAAGCTGGGAAAAGAGGAATATTGCTTGCTGTGTTTAGCATGAATACAGAAATAGGTCACATATTGTTTCTGAAAGAAATGGATCACCAGCATACGGCCCCCCCAGCTCATCCTGGTCTCCCTCCCTCCACCCCCGTACACAGCGCTTGAAGCATTCCAACATCCTTGCCAAATTCCCTCACAAATACTTTAATTCTTTACGTGCATGTCTCATTCCATCTGTTCCACATGCTCTTTATGCCATTTACATTCACTGGCAGAGACTGTGAGATGACACCACACGGTATAAATTTGCCATGGTTTAAAGCAGCTTTAGGTAGCGTGTAAGGGAAACGCGGAGCAGCTCCGGGTCCAGGTTTCCTCCTGAAGACCCAGGATAATTCAGCTACAGGGCAAACAGCACATGACTGTCACCAGCAGGTCTTCAGATGAGCGAGGCTGTGCTTGGGAAGCACGACACTATGCCTCCAGGTTGAGCAGAAAGGTTATCCTTGGCAGGATTTATGGAAGTGACTGCAGGGATAAGGGACTCTGTGCCCAAATACAAAGCATAGGAAAGGGAAACGTGATGTAAAGGAGGAATAAAGCAGTGCTCAATGAGAAACGTGGTGAGAACACATGTGCAGAGGTACTCACTTGTGCACCCAGGGTTCTCTCTCTGATCCTTTGCCACAGAAGCTCTCCACAAAAACGGGCCCACAAAGTGTGAGTCTTGGGGCTTTGCCTTTGGGAACATGCAGTTGGGTTTGGGGTTTTGCAGCATGGTCATCCCAACCCGCAACCAGCTGGAAGTCTGTCTTGGAATACTTAGGTAGGCCATTGCAAATGTCTGTTGGACACAGAAACAGTTTCCAGGATAAGAATTGAGGGGGGAAAGCAAACCCAAACCCACCAAACCTTCAGGTTTCAATAGAGGAACATTCATAAAACCGAAGTAGAGCTCAGCTTGTGTCTGGCCACGTGCCTTGAACTCCTTGAACACATTACAAGAAAGCTTCAAGCCACAAAATTTCACTTATGTTCTAAGTGCTGGGCACAAAACCTTTTCTTTCACCTCCACAAGAGCACCGCAGATAAAAGAAACATGCGCTTAAAGAACATAGGAGAGTCCAACAGAGATCCAGCTAAAAAGCATCCCAAAATCAGAAGCCTGGGCATGACCTGCCCTGCAGACAATAGCTGCAGGGCACCTGCAGCACCCTGCAAGGCAGAAGCTCAGGAGACCCTATCACAGAGAATAAGGTATCCTGGCAGTGACAGCAGCAAGGCAGAAAGCTAGAAATCAATGTTGGAAGTACCCATTTCTCAGAGCATTATGCCATGTAATTACTTTACTACTATTACTAAGATGTTGTGAAAATACATCCCATGTTTCATCAGAGGTCAGTCAACACTTCTAACCTTCCCTTTTCCCAAGTGAGACACACAGCTTGCTGACCTGGCAGGACACATTTCTCAATCTTTACCTCCCCATTTTTCTACATTCCATTCCTCATCTCATTTTTCCTGTTTAGCTTGTGTGCTCTACCCTATACCCTGTTATCTCCTCCTCCATCTCTTTCTCCCCTGTCTGTTATTACTACATTGTCTTTAATGTTTGCCTGCTGCCCTTTGGTGCCAAGCTATATGGTTTTTAACTGCTGTGAAAATGTTTGATTCATACAATTTGTTGTTTCTCTTGCAAAGGAATCATCATCCAAACTAACCTGCATGAGCCTGAGCAAAAGCTGGGAAGGACAGCCTGCCATTCCCTGCTTGCACTCACAGCTTGAAGCCTTGTAGGCTATGGCGT